ATCTGTGGGTTAGCTTCCTGGCCAGAGATTGAACTCAGGCTGTAGAGGTGATAGTTCTGAGACTTAACCCCTAGGCCACAAGGGAGGCCCCCAAGGTGCTATATTTATAAGTGGATGATCAAACTCCTAGGATTCACACCATCAAGACATCTGACATGGAGCTTCCAAGATTCCCCTTTGTTTTCAGGGCTTTTTTGTTCCCATTCCTAATAAATCCACAAAAACTAGTCTCTGCTTTGGTAGGGGGCAGGGACAGGTATTCTATAAGATGACATTAGAAAGAATGTAATCTCCAGTCTATGTATCAAATCTTCTAATGCTTCTTTATTAAACACTCAGTAAATCTTTTTAAATTCCTTAATTTCATCAATATATATCTTCTGGGCCTCCTGGTGGTGCAAGGGGTTATGCACCACACTATGAAGCAATCTGCAGCCTCTGCAGCATGAGTTCGATCCCCGGCCGGCCAGGGAGCTACCCACATGGCACAGCAGACCTCTCCTATATGGCCCACTGCTCCCCTCAGTAATGTGTTTCAGTCAGTCTGCCTGTTCTGTTCCCCACTCTTTCTCTGGTGAATCCTCTCACCCCTCGTATCTCTGGCCTATACCCCAGCTCTTGTATTCTTGTATGCATAAATAAATAAATCATAAATATATATATATATGTATGTATCTTCTGTCCTGCCAAATTTGGAGAAGAAAAATGAACAAATGACGATTGTGTAAAAGCAATTGCAGTTTTTAGCAAATTTATTAACCAGCATATTTAATATCTTTTCACTTATAAACATTTCCTCTTCGGTACACAAAGTTCACGGCTACTCTGGATAGGTTAGTAACAGTCCATCCTTATCTCACAGGTGACTTATAAATAATCCAGATAATATTCCCAACATTTGAAGATAATCTGTATAACATCATGTTTTATATGAAATTTTGACATTTTAACATGTCACTACCTAAGGCTTTTTTTTTTTTTTTTTTTGATTGACCTCATCCCATCTGGATATCTTGACTATTAACGCAGGGCTAATTTGCTAAAAGCAATCACACATACCTCTTATGTGGAGAAATACCTTTCAGTGGACACGAAACAGTTTCATTTAGGATCTTTGTTTAGCTAACTTTGTTTTAGAAAATTTCCACATTTGGGGGTCACTCTCACTAATCCTGAATGCCTGATGCAGTTATTTTAATGAGTTCAAATAAACTAAAATTGCACCTGACATAGTCACAAACTTAAAAAAAGAAAAAGAAAATTCCACATACATCTCCTCCTCTCATACCTAGAGGGTATCTTACATTGATCTTTCACTGACCAATGGACGAGATCTTCCTTTTCCTAAAATAATTTTTGAACTTGTTGTGACAGTATTTTATTTACAATTTGTCTTAATTGTGATTATAATCAACATTAATTTCTGCTATATTCCTACAAGACTATAGCTGTCACCTTATTGAATCTTTACCAAAGGAGGATAATTGTTGGATGATCTGGGAAGAAAAATTTAGTAGGTCTATGAGGATAACCAGCTGTTTTCCATAGGGATGCAAATAACAACAGGATGATTTACAGTTGTTCTGAATTAGTTACACAGTTTTGCATTTGGAGAAATGATTTAAAACTAGCAATGAAAATATTCTTTCCTCTCACAGTTGATTTTAGAACATTAGCTAAGATTTTACATCATACACACCATTTTTACACATCTCAGCCTCCTAGCCAAGGACTGTTTCAGCTTGCTATTTCCAATAATTAAAACCAGTGAGTGGCCTGAGGGATAGAGAATTGATGTTGCTTCTCCAAACATCACACCTAACTTTTTTTCTTTCATAAGGTAGCTAAAGGTCACCAAAAGACGAGCCCCACAATAAATAAAAAGGAGGAAGAGAAAGAAAGCGACATTTTTCAAGGCTCCCATGTGGGCATCTGTGCTAGGGTCTCTATAATCTGTGGCATTGAGTTTCATTTGCTTGGTGTGTCTCCACAGGGACATGATTAAAAGGAAAAATGACATCAGTGACACAGAAAATGGGACAATTATGAACAGGTTAAAGAGAGACATGGGTTGAAGTACTGACTTTTACTCACATGGGACATTTCAGTGAAGTTTTTTCTCTGTATTACAATTTTGTGAAACTTATTATCATCATTTGGTATCACTGTTAAAATAAGGCTTATAAGCGAGGAAAAGGCCAAACACCCCAGTAGGATCCAGAGAATTACCCTGTCAATCCTCCAATTCAGCTAGAGAAACAGTGGGTGAGAGAAATTAGCTATCTTGAGTAAATAGAAGAAATTGAGACAGGTGGCAAACCACATACTTAAGTAGTTGATCAGTGTCCAGAAGATACTCCAGACTACCTGTAGCTGATCATTTTCATAAAAATCTGGGTTTAGGACCCTGAGGATGCTATTTATTGCTATAACAAAAAACCAAACATACTCTGGAACTAGCTAAACTTAGGAGGATGCAGTTAATCAAGGAGACCTTCTTCTTCTTCTTAATCCAGTGTCTCCAGCTAATGAATGTGATGTATCCATTCCCCAGCAGTCCTCTGATGGATGCTCCAGTTACTATGACTATAAAGATGTTCTCCATGATGGGCATGTTGGTAGACAGTACACGCTGATCTGATATCACTGCAGACCAGCTAGTTTACAGATAATCAGTTGGAACACATCAAATAAAGTCTTCAAATCATGAATAATGTTTTCATTTGTCATGATTCTGACTCGGATAACATTCCAGAAGGGTCCAGCTCTCCTCTGAAATAGGGTAGCTTCTATACTCATGAAGACTAAACTAACTGATCCTTCCAAACCGACAGTTTGAAGCCTGGACAAGTTATAATTATCACCTTTTAGTGAAATTGGTTTGGTTGAAATTGCTTTCATGCAAAATTAAAAGAGATTCTATTTCATGAATTTGCAATAGGCTTCCTGCTCTTAAATTCTGTATATTTGAATCTGTCCAACTGCTTTTTGAATAGGGAGCCACAAAAAGCAAGTAAAACGTGTTTAATAAAAATTTAAAGGTATAAATGAAACATCATTTTCAACACCATAAATTATAAATGACCCACAAGTCAGGTCTCCAGGTGGAAATGGATGTTAGTTTTGGAAATGATCAGTGTGGCCAAGTGGTAGAAAGTTGATACTGAGTTAGAGGATAACAGTTTTTGTTTTATGTGAGTGATTAATTAGGGAAGGATATTACACAAATCTAACTATAAAAGACATAGTGCTACTAGCTAGGCAAGCACATGGCAAAATTTACTAAAATTTGCTCTTTATTCCAGTGTTTGTTAAAATTGACAGATGCTAAGCATTTGTTATCTTTAGGTTTATTTAATATGGAAAATGCTGTCCTTGCCAATTCATTTCCTGAAACATTGTCTCGTGGATGATAAACAGTGTGATCTAAGATTAAGGAAGTTCACATTTTAAATTATTCTACTCATAATCTTTTATGAGGTTTGTGATCCCACATTCTATATTATAATCATTTCTCTAGATATGACAAACACATTTTTAAAATGTGCATTTTTTAATAAGCAATAATTCCAGGAAACAGGACAAATTCTACTATAAATTGATTTATTCTTTTTTTCTGGGGAGACATGATTGAACCCACAGTAAAGCTAGGTAATACAAATCACGTAAACTAAAGTTTTTCTCATATTTAAGTAGTTCTACAATGTCAACAACATATGCAGTATTTCCCCCTATTTCTTACATGCGTGTAATATGTAATAGGAAAGCAGGACATTGACAATTTAAGGCAACCCAGTTTTCTGTAAAATGTTACCAGAATTGTACACTTAAAATGGCTTAAATGGCAAATTTCGTGTCATATATGTTTTACTACAATAAAAATTTTTATTGATAGTGTTCAATTTTACTTCCAGCCCTGGTGTGACCCAAGCTAGGTATCTTAAGAACATGGTCCTTGTAAACTCAGTTTGAGGAAGATTTAGAATGTTCCACAGGCTCTATTTCCTTTTCTTTGCACTTTTCCTATCATTTTTTGTCATCCAGCATTTTCTTTTTACTTTTCTGACTACTGGACCATGTACAGAAAATAATTCTGAAGATTTGTCTCCCCCAATTTTTTATGTATTCTGAACTGGAAAGGTTGCTCCAGATACATGGTTTACCATAATCTTGAAAGAAAAAGTTGTTTGTTCTTTTTTGTAGCTTCTTTTCAATCTTTCTATTTTTAAGTAATATATTCAAAGTTATATATTTCCTAAGTATTGATTTAGATACACACCGCAATGTAGACACATGGTTCTTATGATGTGTTGCAGAATCTTTACTCAATTGTAATTGGGTCAAGATTTTGTTTCATGTCAAATCAATAGATTTGAAGAATAGAAAGACTCCTTAATCAGTGCTCATCCCCTTTCTCCTAAGTAGACTTCATTTCCTGAGCTATTTTTCACAGAACTACTCAAATCTAGTGCTATGATCATTGCTACCATGTCAAACACACACAGGAAAACACAGACATTAGGTTTTAAGCAGTGAAAATAAAAGCAATCTTTTAAAGAATTGAAACTGAGTGCTCAACAGAGGCACCTCTGTCTTTTCATTTCCATGTTCATAACTTCCATTGTTAACTTTCTTTTTCTTTGAGTCTTGTTGGTGAAATGCTGTCAGTCCATTAAGAAAATCTGGTAAAGCATAATAAAAAGTCTTCATAGTGAATATCTCCAAGATGTTCTTCCTCTGGGAGGTCTGAGGAAAGAAGTTGCAGGATAAAGAAATTGACTGAGTCACTGAATTTACAGGTGGGATTAAAATCTTGTTGAAGAGTGAGATTCTCTGAGATGTAGTCAAAATAATTACAAAAGATTTTAGTGATGTTCAATAATATAGTCAAAACAAATGCAAGAATATGATGCAAATGAAATAGGTCTTCAGGTGTTTCTTCACTAGTTGAAGAAGGCTCCACTTCTCCCCTAGCCTGTCTGGGGAGTTCTGAGAAGATTCTATTTCTCACGGCACTTTAATTGCTGCAGTATCACCAAAGAGCCTTGCTTTAGCTTGTTGTTTCCTAGAATTAAGATAAATGAGTGGCCCCAGGGATAGATGACTGCAATTGTCATACCAAAAATAAGCAACGATTTGTATTCTGTCATAGTATAATATGATATTTCTATGGAAATGCCTATAAAATATAAGATGAAGAGGATGACAAAAGATATCAAAATTTTCATGGCGTTCATATGTGCTTTGGTGCCGGAGTCTCTGAATCCTGTGACATTCAATTGCATCTGCCTGCTGTGCCTCCAGAGGGAAATGATTAACAAGAAACACGTAATCAGGGTTAGTATAAAGAAGACTATTACTCCCAGATTGAATAATAGCTGGTTAGTAATGAATTCACGTGTATTAATGTTGCTCTTCCAGGCTGTGTGGTTATTCTTCATTCTATGAACTTTCATAATCTTCACAATTTGTGGAAAAGTAAGTAACCAGGAAATAAGCAAGGATCCCATCAGAAGGGGAAGAACCCTATTAATTCTGTTCTTCAACCAGAGAAAAATGTGGTGAGAAAAATTTGCTATCTTCAGGAAATAGAACATGTTGAGGCTAGTGGCAAACCAGATACTTGATTGATTGAGAATTATCCACAAGTAACTAATATAGTCAATTAATTTACCAGATGCATACATATCTGGGGAGAATATCTTTATAAATCCATCTGTAATTATTAGCCCTATCAGAAAAATTCTGGAAGTTGCTAAGCCCATGAGAATAAAACCAATCATAGAAAACTTCTTGTTCTTCACACAGTCAATGCAATAGACAATTCCAATAAACCCATTCCCTAGAACCCCCAATATTGACTCACTAATTGCTACAAAAATTAGGAAAACTTCTACTATACTTAGCATATCTGCCAATCCCTAATATTGCCTCTGTTACATCTAGGTCAGATTACCTGTTGCAGAATGAGGCATATATTGGTTGCTTGATGGAAGAATTATTTTCTTCTCTTTCTTTACATAAAGTCTGAAAAGTGCCCCAATTAATGCCTGGTGATAGAATCCAAAATATCTCCTTCCACTTGTCTGTACAAGTCAGTATAGAGAAAGCTTACTTACAGTTTGCTAAGATGCAAATAGAAGTTTTGGTTCATGGATTTTACTTGTCCTTCTGAGATTATTTGCATTTGTTGACCTGAATTGTGAAGAGGGAGTGCCAAATGCAACAGAAGCATAAACTGGACTTCATCTTTTTCAACATCATCATTAACATTATCATGTATGTTAAGTGTTTATAATGACAGCTCAGCTATATAAATTAAAAATAGTGCATAGAAAAGTGAATTTAGTCATTACGGACACTGAATAATTAAAGGCATAAAAAACCACATTCTCTTCCACTTTCTGGTAATCCAGGGAGCACATACTTGAAATTATGATATAAAGAGGACAATTGATTATGAGTCAATTATATAGAAAACCTGAAGGATTGTCACTTAGTATGAAGGTTGGTACCAGAAGGCAAGAAAATATAGTGACATTAGAAATCAATGATATAGGGGGCTCCCTGGTGGTGCAAGGGTTTAAGCACAGCACTGTGAAGTTATCCGCAGCCTCTGCAGCATGAGTTTGATCTCCAGGTAGCCAGGGAGCTACCCAAATGGCACAGCAGACCTCTGCTGTTTCACCCACTTCTCCCCTCAGCAGTGTATTTCAGTAGATCTGCATGTTCTCGTTCCTCGCTCTATCTCTGGTGAATCCTCTAACCCCCCACACCTCTGGCCCGTACTCCAGTTCTTGTAAGCATAAATAAATAAATCTTTTTTAAAAAAGAAAGCAATGATATAGAAAATAAACTTTTCTGTAGAAATACACCAATATTCATCAAGACTAAAAATACAGGGCCTCTCTGGTGGTGCAGCGGTTGAGCGCTGGGTTGCGAAGCTGCCCGCATCCTCTGCAGCGCCAGTTCAATCCCTGGCTGCTCCCCAGCCACTGCAGGAGGGTCCCACATGGCGCGCAGACCTCTCCTGCCGCCCGCTGCTCCCCTCAGCAGTGTGCTTCGGTCCTTCTGTCTGCTCTGCTCCCCGCTCTGGCTCTGGTGAATTCTCTCACCCTCCCGTGCTTCTGACTGTACCCAGTGCTTGTATAAACAAACAAACAAACAAACAAATAAATAAATAAATCTTAAAAAAAAGAGAGAGAGAGAGACTAGAAATACTATGAAAACTTCATGTGAAACTTCCTCAAGAACACTTCAAGAAAATTATGGGCTAAAATAGCCTGATCACAGATAAACTACAGCCCAGCCCATTCCAGTGCAGGACCCTGCTTTGTCTATTGAAGTCAGTTAATTCATGATATTCTGCTGGTCTCTGGTGGTGGATGCAAGTGTAGAGTAAGGTCCAGAGGTCAACAGACTGAAATGAAGGATTTATTACCCATGATTTAAGTAAGGGTTCTCTGTCTCCAGTTTGTCATGAAAGGAAATAGACCCAGGTGCCATTGGCAACCATATTGTCACCCCAAAATGATGACACTAGAAGGAAGACCCTGAGGTGAACAGAATAGAGAGATAAATAGCTAGAGTCCTTGGCAACCTCCTAATACAACCAAAGCTGGATTTTTTTCTCCTTTAGATGCCTGGATATGAGATATTTTCCTCAGAATTCACTCCAGTTTTAGACAGGTTTTCTCTTATTGATAGTCAAAATCTTCCAGATTAATGTATCTCCCCCAAATATTGCTAAGATGTACATACTTCCAGGCATTCATGCTGCATGTAACATTTAATGAATAATTCGTTTTCTCTGTGGAAACACCACTCAGTAGAAAAGGTAAATATAAATGAGAAAATATTATCTTTTACAGTCATCCAGCAATATTTCTTAAACTTCATGCCAAATTTTCCACTATAGAAAATAGGAAAATCTCATTTCTTTAAGTTGTATAGTATTAATAACTATTTCTATCAGTATGTTCATTAATGTGAATGTTTCTAATTTTTTATGGTTAAAGGATCATTTTATTTTAGCCTCTTCACAAAAGTCTTCAGGATTTCTCTACTCTCTTTTCAAAGACTCACTTCAAAGACTCCCTGAAATTCATTTTCAGTCATTCTACACAAACTAAGATGCAAATGTCACATAGTACATAGTGTAAAGAGAATTTCCATTTTACCAGGAATCAAAAATTTATGCAAAGCAGACAAAATGTCCACAGTAACTTAATCTCAGGCATCAGAAAACTACTTTGGAAAGGAAATTCTTAAACAAAAAATTATTTAGTTGAGCCATGATCTCAGCAGAAAATTGGAAATCTCCTCAATAGCTTTTTTAAAGGCATCGTCAATATTTTGCTACAAAGTGTTTACATGTTTTGTGGGAAACAGTATATATTGTTCTGTAATATTTTCCACTTGAAAACATATATGTAGTTATCATTTTTAATATTAATAATAGTTTTATATGTCTTGATTAGCTAAATGTCAATTATTTTGATTCCTTAATAATTCCTCTTTTCAGGGCCTCCCCTGGTGGCGCTGGCGGTTGAGCACAGCGCTGTGAAGCTGTCTGCAGCCTCTGTAGCGTGGGTTCGATCCTGGCCTGCTGGCAAGAATCCCACATGGCGCAGTAGACCTCTCCTGTCTTGCCGGCTGCTCCCCTCAGCAGTGTATTTCAGTCAGTCTGCCTGTTCTGCTCCCCGCTCTGTCTATGGTGAATCCTCTCACCCTCCTGTGCATCTGGCCTGTACCCCGGTACTTGTATGCATGAACAAATAAATCTTTAAAAAAAAAAGCTTTAAAAAATAAATAATTCCCCTTTTCTTTCTTTCTTTTTTTTTTTTTTTGTGGGATTAGGGTCAGAATAAGGGGGGTGGGAATTGTATGGGGAATATAACCAAAATGAAAAAGCATACATTGTGCAAAAATGAAAAATGATGTAAGAATTATATAAAATAAAATAATTTACAAAAAAAAAAGAATTAAAGAGACTAGGACCAAATCTGAGGTACAGCAAAAACAATAATAATAATAATACACCTTCTTTTGAAGTTAAAGATGTTTCTCAATCTCATGCACTGATATTTTGGTCTGGATAGATCTTTGTTGTAGAAAACGGGCCTGTAATTGTAGACTGTTCAATAACATCTCTGACCTCCATCCACAAGATGCCAAAAGCACCTCCCCAATGGTGAGAACCAAAAATATCTCCAGATATTGCCTGATGTCCAGCGGGAGGGAACAAATATTACCAGAGGGCCTCCCCGGTGGCGCAACGGTTGAGCGCTGGGTTGTGAAGCTGCCCGCGGCCTCTGCGACGCCGGTTCGATCCCCGGCTGCTCCCCGGCCACCGGAGGAGGGTCCCACATGGCGCGCAGACCTCTCCTGCCACCCGCTGCTCCCCTCAGCAGTGTACTTCAGTCCTTCTGCCTGCTCTGCTCCCCACTCTGGCTCTGGTGAATTCTCTCACCCTCCCGCGCTTCTGACTGTACCCAGTACATGTATAAACAAACAAACAAACGAACAAACAAACTTAAATAAATAAAAAACATGCCTCTATAAAAAAAAAAATATTACCAGAACACAATGCCATTGCCAGCAGATACTTGGGTGTTATTCATGGAGTTTTTCATATCAATTCAGATTTTTGCCTATTCCTAAAGATGGGTTTTCGTATTCTTTACATAAGTCAGTATCCTAAAATACCTTACCCAGGGATCATGGCTGGAGGGTTTTCTTGACAGCAAGTTATGTTCACAGCTACACATTTGTGCGGTGTTTCAAGGGCATTAAGTGTAGGTCTTGTAAAGGACTGAACCCTGAAGTTACCATTTGCTGAGGTCACAGGATCAGCTTATCATCACATATGTTGTCAGGGTTTTGATCATCCAGCTTAGGGTTTAAATTCTCCAGATATTAATAACTTTCTTTTAATTTATAATACAACATAGTTTTAGTATTTCCTGATTTTTTCAGTTACCTCGTGGTTTTTACTTTTATGGGAGCAGATTTTGTTTCAGATTAAATGTGTTTCACTCATTGTACCAATGTCTGGTGGTTGTTTTCAGAAAATTTTCTGTTCTTATTAAATAAAAAGATCAGGAAAACATATCTTTATTATGTCTGCTACATTTAAAAACCATATAGTTCTTAAAAGTTCTTGGAATTTTTTAATCCACTGATTAAACAGATTTATTTAAATTTACTTTTTTTACAATATATTTTCCTTCTTAATTAAAACCAAGGTCTTAATTAATAAAAAGTCACCTAAAATGAGCTACCAGAGTAAATCAACTAATTTTATGCTGTTATCAACTAATAACACAATCGAGAGTGAATATGAGGGGTTTAATTAACTCTTTTTACCCACTTTTTTACTTTCAGATCAGAAGATTTGAGTTTGGATTCTAACCATGAAGTCACACATAATATGCCTTGGAATTTTTCTCACTGAAAAAAATAACGATAATAAAAATTTGGTATAAATTAAATTACAATGCTAAATTGCCTAGGATATTTCATGAAATCCAGAAAACCTTTTCTCTTATGTAATAGCCTGGTCTACTGAGAATTTAAAAAAAAAAAATCTATTAACACAAAATGAAGACCAAGGTAGAAACTAGGGGATCCTCAGAACATAAACTGTTTTCTTCAGGTTCCTCCATGCTGTGAAGATTACAATCCCTTGATGTAAGATTCCATTTGCTTAAGCACATTCACGAAAGTCTGTCTCATTTTTCTGTTCCCCAAAATCATATTGAAGGGGTGAATTGAAGGATAGAACAATGCTACCATCTCAGCAATAATCACACTCACTGTGTTGTCCAGTTTGGCATAGCACCACATTACCAAGAAACTAGCCAAATAATGCACCACTAAGAGAAGGATGAAAGAAATCATCGTATTTCTGGCTCTTACATGAACCTCTATGTTGAGGTGTCCAGATCCTGTGGTGTGATGCATCATCTGTCTGATATGTCTCCATAAGGAAAAGATTAACAGGAAAAATGAAATGACTGACACAACAAAGGGGATGAAGCAATCCCAGTTCAGGAAAATCTGATGGTCGAAACTTGGGTTTTCATTCAGCCATGCTTTCAAGGTCAGATTCCTTTCCATTTTTAGATATTCATGCACCCAAACAGTATTCCATTTTATGTTCAGAAGATTAGCCAAGAAAGAGAAAAAGAACCCAAATAGAATGGTGAAAACAACTCTATCTCTTCTCCACTTCAGCCAGAGAAAGAAGGGATGGGAAAAATTGGAAAGTTTGAGGAAGTAGTAGACACTTAGGCAGGTAGCACACCAGGTGCCCAAGGAGTTGTTCAGACTCCATAAGAAACCAAGAGTTATTGCTACCATTAGGTTGGTTTCATATAGTTTTGGATAGAACACTATTATGATACTGTCTTGAAGAAGCAGGTATATCACACCAATCCTGGAGACAGCCAAGCACATTAAGATAAAGTCAAGCAAGGTGATTTTCTTGGTTTTGATCCAGTCAGCACAGATTACTAGGAAAATGAATCCATTTCCCCAGATACCTATCAGGATTTCTACAATTTCAATGCTGATAATAACTTTTTCAAATGCACTTGACATATCCGCAGAAGTCAAATCTCAGCCACTTCTGTCACAGCTGACTTTTTGGAAATGATTTAACTGTTGAGAATGTTCTTCTTTGAGGTTTTTGGAGTCTCAGACCAGAAAAATACACAACCCTGTCAGCAGCTTTGTAAAAAACACATGCAACACAAAAACCCTCCAAAGAGCAATCCTCATAAATATCAACTCGATTCCTAAATGAATCTTTTTGTCATAGTCACAGGCTGTTTTTCATCTGTGAGGCTGGCTGAATGTTCACCTCATATTTGCTAACAGGCAAATGAGCAGAAGATTCTATGACATTGCTTTGAGTTTTCTTCTTCTTCAATCAAGCTTTATTTATTTATGCATACAGGACCTGGGGTGCAGGCCAAAGGGGGGGGAGTCGGCGGGGAGAAATTTCACCAGAGATACGATGTGGAACAGAACAGGCAGACTGACTGAATACACTGCTGAGGGGAGCAGTGGGCGAGACAGAAGAGGTCTGCTGAGCCATGTGGGTAGCTCCCTGGCCACCCTGGGAATGGAACTCATGCTGCAGAGCCTGCAGACAGCGTCGCAGTGCTGTGCTTAAACCCTTGTGCCTCCAGGGAGGCCCCCTTATAAATTCTTAATCTGAGATTAAAAATGGCCAGACCCTGAATTCCTAATTGCTGCAGCTTTTACTTCAGGATTCTTAAGGGCTGCAAACACCATGCTCAACACTTCCAAAGATTTGAGTTTGGATTCTAACCTGTTTGGGTGCATAACTTCTAAAGGCTCCATTTGTAGTTTGCCACGAGCCAGCCGCTTAGCCTGGGTGTCGGGGGTTCCTGAAGGATGGGATGGTGTTGGTGTCGGTGCAATTGTGGAAATGAGGGGGAGGGAGAGTGATGAGATGCAGACACTTGATCAGGGTGCAAACATCATACTGCTGAGGGTCTCAGCAGCCCTTTATTTATACATTTCAAGCAAACCGTGAGTGCTTAAGCATATGCATTAAGGCAGGAAGATAACAATCATCACATCTTTTTCAAGAACAGCCAAGGGTCTATTTGCCCTCCTGCAGAGGTCGTGACATTTATTATTCTTTGTTTTATAGAAGGCACAGTTGCTAAACAAAAGTGTTCTTAGAATAGTCATTTACCTTAAACAACCAAACAGTCATTTTATTAGTAGTAAAAACTTATGTGACTGAAACTATCATTTCTATGTTTGCCTTAGTGAACGATTAACTAAGGGCTAGGGGAAACAAAGGACAGGAAGTTACCTGGGGAAGGAAGATGCACTGACACTTCCCTAGCCCCAAGCTCTCAATTAAGGGAGGAATTTTCCTAATCTAACAAAAGAGTTCTTCTACCTATTACCCTATACTTACCTCGTCAGCCTAGTTTCCGTATCTAACTTTAAGATCAAGGGAAAATTTCTTTTTCTGTAAGATTGCTGGTTGTTGTTTTAAGGAACTACAAATATTTCATCAGAGGCAGGGACAGAGATGGTTATAGCTTTTGATTCCCAGAATGGTTAATACGTGACATATCAGTTGTAACATTGACTATTTCCAAATGCATTATTGTGCTGCCATGGTTTTTAGCTCGACCAGTCACAGAATTGTTGTTGACTTATTCTTGAATACACACTCTAACAGCCACCATACCAATCATCACCTCCAGGGGAATCAGCCATAAACAAGCAGGAAGAATTTAGCAAGAGCCGGCTTTGGCGCCTCCTGGCTTATCAGGAATTTTCTTATGCTTGGAGCATGGCTCGCATCTGCCACCCAACTGCTGTCTTTAACTTTAAAGTAAAAGAATTTCCTTCTCCATTTAGCTCTTGCCTCAGAAGACCACATCTCCATATTAAAGACTTGGCCGAGGGATGTTTACAGCCTTTTGTTCCCAGAAGTTTTTTCACTTGTTAATGTAAGGCCGAATGTTGAATTGCTGCCTTTTGGCAGAGAAATACTAATTTTATAAAAAATGTAATATTTGTATCACACAGTGCCATTTGCCATCAAATTTGTTATTCAGTAATTGATCAAACAGCATTTGCAGTTTTACTTTTTTTTTATTTTTTTTAAAGATTTATTTATTTATTCATACAAGTGTAACAGGGTGGTCCCCAGGAAAGGGGGAGGTTCCCTGCCCCACCCAAGGGAGGGTGGAGCTGAGCAGGGAGAGGAGAAGATGCAGAAGAGACTGAGGAAGGAAGCAGGATGGAGCCAGGAGACCTGGAGGAGGTGCATGGAGCCTAGAGACACGTGAAGAAACTGAGCTTGTCTTTTGGTCGTGGACTGGGTGACACAGATGTGGGTGAGACCCGTGGAGAGGTGACCATGGCAGCTTTTATCTTGATGTTGATTTTGCTCTTTTCCTTCCGTGCTTGTCTGGTAGTTTCTGATCCTTTTCTGTGGGTCCCCACTGGAAGATGCTTTAGACTTGTGGCAGGCTTTGGGGCCTTGCTCTGGGCCGATCCCATATGGATGGACTTTTACCCACGAGGGGACGGGTAACTTTGGGTGCTTGATTTAGAAACTAGACTCTTTGACTTACCTGTATTGTTTCCTAGTTTTATTAAAGTTCCTTCCCATTAAAGTCTCCTATGTTTTGTGTTGATGCGGCGGATGGCAGAACCCATTTAGAATAGGCAGGTTTGCGGGGTTTGGGCTGCCCCTCTCCCTGTCCTATAACACAAGCACTGGGTACAGTCAGAAGCGCGGGAGGGTGAGAGAATTCACCAGAGCCAGAGCGGGGAGCAGAGCAGGCAGAAGGACCGAAGTACACTGCTGAGGGGAGCAGCGGAAGGCAGGAGAGGTCTGCGTGCCATGTGGGACCATCGGCCGGCAATCGAACCGCGCTGCAGAGATTCCAGGCAGCTTCGCAACCCAGCACTCAACTGCTGCGCCACCGGGGAGACCCTGCAGTTTTACTTTTAAATGCATATTTTAACAATGGTAGAAACTAGCCATAAACAAATGGGGAGAATCTAGCAGGAGTCAGCTAATGGATTCCTGACTTTTCAGGAATCTGCCCCATGTCCGGACCTTCGTCAGACAACATGAGTAGCTCGGCTCCCAGCAGCAGTTCAGCACCGGTCTGTTAGGGGGAACGGGATGTCCTAAAGCTAATATCGGGGCTGCTCTATAACAGGTCCTCTAAACTCCCCATCCAGGGAAAGACCACACAAAGCCTGAGCCACACACATTCTTATTCTTGTGCCATAATATTCCAGCTTGACTAATAGCTACATACAAAATGTATAAGAAAAACAAGAAGATGAGGTTTCTCTCTCCAACTCTTTTCCTTTCTCCTAAGTCCTATCCCAGTCTTACTGATATTCCAAGCTGGGGCCTCCCCTGGTGGTGCAGCGGTTGAGCGCTGGGTTGCGAAGCTGCCCGCAGCCTCTGCAGCGCCGGTTCGTTCCCCGGCCAGCGGCGAGGGTCCCACAAAAAAAAAAAAACCAAAATCCTGATATTCCAAGCTGACAACTTCCTCAGGCTTCACCTAAGTAGATTCCTGGAACAGGAAGGAAATCTCAAGGACAAAGTTACTGGCCCCATTTGCTCCTTCCATGCAAAGCTCCGTTTCTTAGCTGGGTGATGTGATACATTGAACTGTGTCCCTCCTCCCCCCAAGGATATGTCTGATACCGGAATTGTCAGGCCTAGTCTCCCAGCCAGGAACTGATCCCAGGCTGCAGGGGCAGCGCTGAGCCCCAGCCACAAGACCCCCACGGGTTGTGTCTCACGAAGCCGCAGCAGGAATTTTGCAGACACTCAGGCAAGCAAGCGAGAAGAGGCAGGTTTGTTTAGAGAAAGAAAAAGTTTATTGAGGAGAAAAAAGAGCAGAAATAAAGTGGGACTCCCAGGCCAGGGAACCAGGCCTGGGAGGGGCAAGGAAGCCAAAGTAGAGTTGTGTCTCAGGGAATATAGACCTTCTTTCCCTCATTATTCTAAAGCTCCACCAGTCTCTTTGTGATTGGTCATTTCTCGGCTGTCTCACTTAATTTGCTACTGAGTGGGGGATCTTCACATTCCTTATCTAACAATTTTCTCTTTCCCCATTTGTTGCATCTTTAAATTTATGGCCCAGTCCTCTGGATGGGCATCCCTGCATTGAAGTTAAACAGCTGCCCTTCTAAGTTGTCCATAAATTAAACCACTCTCCATTTCTCCAATCTCCGCCTCCCTTTACCACCTGAAGGAAACCAGGACCAGCATTAACAATGTTGTCCTTGGTCCTGGGATATTTGTTTTTCCTAGTGGAATGGGTTACTTTCCCTTGGTTGTCCTTATCTCTGAAGCCTCCCTAAATTCTTCAGAGGTCCCCTCCTGCACTGTCCCTAAAACTGCCTAATTTCTAGCTTGCCCTGTGTCTCATGTCCAAGTACGAACCCCTGGCAGCTATGAGTGTATCCTCTGTTGCAGATATAATCAGCCCTAAAACTGATGACAGGGGTTCTTATAAAAGAAAGGGTGAGGGATTTGACATACAGAAGGAAGAGATTGCATTTATGCTGCTTCCATCCAAGAAACCCTGGGTGCACCAGCAGCAGAGGAGAGGAAGGACTCCCCAGCAGCACTTTCAGAGGGAGCATAGTCATACCGCTATCTTGACTTCAGGCTTCTAGCTTTCAAACTGTCTGCTGCATCAGTTGCCTACTGATTACATTTAATATAAATATTTAATAAGATATTAATATAGTTAATATAAATATTAAACTATTATGAGGAAGAGGTAGGATTAAAAACAGGTCACGGTGATTTGATACTGGGTGTCTCGATGGTGGGTGTCTAAGGCGACAGCACCTAAGGGGGGAATTCCTGTATTTCCAAACACTAGCAAGGATGTAAAACAATGGTAATGGTACTTCATTTAAAAAAGAAAGTAACTTTTTTTTTTTAATTTTAAAGATTTATTTATTTATGCATACAAGAACCAGGGTGTAGACCAGACGTGCGATGGTGGGGAGGAGAGTGAGAGGATTCACCAGAGACAGAGTGGGGAGCAGAACAGGCA